ACCCACAGACCTACGTATCCCATGTACAGGGAGGGGTAAGGTGTTTCATGGGATGATGTCACTAGCATGATCATGACAGCCCTCGTTAGCATATTGAGGGGTGTCAACTTTAATATGCATTTCGTGGATAATGAAGCAAAGTTCATTCACCGGACACATGGCCCTTGAAATCTGCCCAGGTGCCCCAGGGCAGAGCCGTCCTGTCTCCACAGGGCTCTCTCCCCCAGATACATCGGGCAGCGTTATCAGCTTCAGCCTCCACAGAAAGCACCCTGTGACTCAGAGTTTTGTCTTGGGAGTGTTTGAGGCAAATCTTCAATCAGCCTCAACTTTTGCTTTCCCAGGTTGTTTGTCTTAGTTTCTCACACGCCTGGTTTGTCATCTCTCACATCCCACCCCGTGACTCAAACACTCCAAGTTCTTCTTTGACTATTGTGATCTCAAAGGGTATAGGGAAAAAGAAGACAGAAGGTAAGAGAGTATATGTCTAACTGCTGCAAGGCATACTATGAAAAGCAAAACTTTGCACAATATTACAATACTAATATTTGCAAGCCATCTTTCCCACCCCGTGAGTCCTGAGGATCCTGGTGATGTTACCCATGACCCAAGGTTCCCTCCATCAAACCAGTTCATTTGTCAAGAAAGTTTTCTGTTCCTGTTGGCAATCTTCTTCATTGTGGCATGGGTCTCCTCTGTAGAGGTGATGGCAGAGGTGCACCGTGGATGGGGATGCAGCATTCTCCCTCAGTCAGACTCAGCACACCGCACAGTCCATGTTCCTTCAGCAATGCTAGCTGGATTTTGCAACGCCATCCTAGATGCTTGGTGGATCTGCACCTTTAATTCCTTAAAGGCATACCTTGTTAGTACATATAAATACTAAGTAAAATTTTCTAAAACTATTTGAGGTTATACAATCACATTAGAAGGTCGATAAGGATTTAAATGAGAATACAATTTAATATTCAGGTACAATTTGTTAATGCTTAATTTGTGGGACCAGACCCCTCCACCTAGTCTTTGATTACTTCATCTTGCTGTTGGTTATATGATATTTGCAAGCACC